CAACAGAACCAGTCGTATTGAGCCCTGACGAGAGAGGGGTGCAGCACTGACCACACACACACACACACACACACACACAGGGTTTACAGGTGCAGTTATGGGCATGTGCTGCCAGAATAAGGAAAGAGAAAGCACGTTAGGAACCTTGGTACAGCGTCTGGGTCACTGTCTGGATGTGTGTCTAATTTCAGGACACAACCACCCACATGGTACAAATCACATCTCCGGGCAGAGGAAGGGCACGACTGATAAACAAGGAGGAGTCACATTGTGATTGCTGTGCTGTTAATGCGTAGCAGGACGAGGACCAGGCTTATCTACCCCTATCAGGAAGGTGGCAGAGCTGAGTGCAAGACAACTTGTCAGTTGGTACGTGTTGTGACTCCCTTAATGAAGTAATTCAGTGAAGATCCCACCAAGTTGTTATCTGACAGCTGTCTGAGGGGGGGTTAGCTATGCAGAGGTTTATGCTAATGCCAGACTAGCAGCTTCAACAGAACAAGCAAGCAGCTGCTCAATCCCTGCAGGCAAGAAGCTGCAACTCAGACAATGGAGCGCATGTAAAACAAAAGTCATGTGCTTTCTAAGTGGCCTTCCAATCGGCCTTTGGGTGCAAAGCCAATTTAAAAAAAGGTGGAAGGTATTTGGGGACTCCCTGGGCTGGTATTATCAGCAAGAGAATATTTGTGCGTCTCAGACATCTGGCCAATCTGAGCAGCTGCTTCCAGCAACATGGACGGTTAGATACAGCCAACAAACAGCCCTCACAGGGATCATCTGTCTGAGGTATATTCCTTTTATTTCTTTTAAGCCAAGTCAGAGATTGGGGTAACCTATTTTATGCTTCCTGGTTAACAGCTGTTTAAAGCTACAGCCGATAAAACAAACATTGGTCTTAGACTATTACTGCCTGTTCAGCTTCATCTAATTTATGTCCTCAGAGTCACAGCACCTTGACTTTTGAGTGGAGTCATTAGCTTGTTGTTATAATCAAAGTTATGTTTATTAAATGTGTTGCTCAAATAGCTAATTTACCTTCATTTCAAATCCAACTTTTTCGATTGTGAACACTTTAAATAATCCATAATGGAAGACACTGTATGACACCGTATTCTTCCCTCATGCATTACTCCTGATTATGATCAGTTTAGTGCACTTCAGTCTGTTGGTAAAGAACATGTATTTATTATTAGAGCATTTATTATTCATAATTCAGTTCAATTTGAAAACTGACAATAAATATTGTTGAGATATTATTCAGTTGAACTTTCCCTATTTGATTCGACAGTCAGTTGTTGACATACGGACGTTAATACAACTGTTAGTCTACTTTAATACATATGGGACTAAATCATAGCGCTACTTATGACATTATAACATTATTGTGATGTTCGGGACCTTTGCGTGAGGAAGTTCTCTCTCACTGGACCTCGCTGGATGTGAATTGAATAGCTCTGCTCTAGTGTTTCTACAGGAATGTTTGTCATGTAGAATCAAAGAAGTAATTTCTCTCTCTGTCTCCCCGTCTCTCTCTGGCTGTCAATACTGCTTACTTAGAACGTAGTCTCACCTCTCCTTCTCTGTACCAGGGCTGCACAACAAGTGTCTCTTTCTTCCTGCAACTTACAAAGAAACACATTCATATAGCGGAGACAGCGCGAGCGTCACACTGTGTTTCCTAAGCGATAAACAATCAACAAACCGAGAGAGAATGTGCGCCACATAAGTCAAAGCCACGGGGAGTCGACGCTAAAAGACTGTGTGTAGTGTGTGTGTGTGTGTGTGTGTGTGTGTGTGTGTGTGTGTGTGTGTGTGTGTGTGTGTGTGTGTGTGAGCAGGATTGTGATCTGTCACCCTCCATTACAAATAAGAAAATACTTCAGCGCCAACTACTCTTGACACTCAGTGGTTGCGACTACAACCCAAGAGGGCTGTAGATGGAGAGGGGAAGTGAAGGGAGTTACCCTCTTCCTAACTTGTTTCTCTCTGGGCTCTGGCTCTCCTGTGCTCGGTGGTAACTACCAGCACATGCATACAAACAATTAGTATCAGCCCTCAGGCTCCTGGTTTGGCAGCAGAAGAGGATGGAGCTCGCCGACTCCTTGGCTGCAAGCGGGAACGTGCGTGGACTGGTAAATGGGCCCCGACGCCTCCCTGAAGCCCGGCTGTGACCCCGGACGACTCTGCCAGCACCACCACAGCTCCAGCACCAGAGCAGCTTAACACGGAGGTGAAGCAACAAACAAACAAACAAACAAATCACGGTGCAAAAAAAAAAAGATCCCGAATGGTTTCTTTAGAGTTTAAGAGGAGTGCGATTCAGACACTTGTCTTGCAGCTACCCGTCTCCTGCCCTCAGTGAGGCCCCTCGCTGCCCCTCACAAAGCTCCTTTTGTAGGTGGAGCAGTGCACACTGCATACCACGGCTTCACTGTACATTCTTGCAGAGGCACAGTGTGTGAGAGTCTACCAAAGGGATGATGCGGATAATTACTTCCCTCCCATTTCTGATACTGATCTGGCCGCATGTTTCCCTCACTGATAAAACCAGGAATCCATGACAACCTCAAAGAGCCCACACTGGCTGATGGCGGAGGGCCTGGACAAACATAAGAGACAACTGTCACACAAGAGAGTGTCTGCTCTGGACAGAGGCCATAGTGCTGCTTCTCTCCCTCTCACACTGCGAGGGATATGTATTCACATGCAGAATCTTCCATTACAGCATCGTATTCTTCTAAAATCATCCCAAATTAAAGACGTCAGAGGTTTCCACAGTCCAACAAAATGGCACAAAGATGAACAAGGGAATGAACTAATCATAGACTTTACATTAGAGGCTCATGCTGCTGTTGAAGTCTTCATACAAAGCTGAACCTCCAGCAACTCGAGACCTCCAGCTTATTTCGGACTGATTAAGAAATACACAATCTGTTGCTTCAATGCATTTATGACTGTGAAAGACTTCCACATATATACTTTGCATACTCAGCTTGTATCTGCAATCTCATTATTTTGGTTACTGCCCAAAGCTTATGACCAACAAAGGCTGATCATTCACGGAGAGATTTGCTCCATAGTTCAGCATTCTGCATTGCTGCAGAGCCATGCTGCCAGCAGGGCTAAAGGAATAGAGTTCTTCACCCCTTTGGCCTTTTCCATTTGCAACCTGACACGTTACAACTGTTATTGATTTGCTTGTTTCTGACATTGCCTTTTTTGCTTTTACCACTACAAGTCTCTAAAGAGCAAATAAAGTTGTTCATTTAGACCACTGCATTGATATAGCGGACCTGTTGGACAGGCCTCGGGTATTGATTCGATTGTTCCAGTGCACAGCAGACTTTGGACAAGAATTGTCAACTCTAGGCGGCGGGCCAAAAGTGCCATTTGGACCGGTTAACAAATGCTGCCACCAAGACGCTACTGCTTGCAGAGTAGACAATCAAGTCACCATGGATACAAGACTCACAGTCCCCGTTTAGTTTCAGAACAAACTACTGAGCAAGTTCACCTCAGCCTGCCTCCGCTGGTGCTTGTTATCTTAGAAAAGGAGCTGAACAACTTCAGCTTCATTGGCACCAGCTGATGTCATCTCCACTTTATGTTCCAGTTAGTTATCAGTGACATCAAACATGTTTAACATGTCCGCTTCCATCCAATCAGGGACAGGATTGTTACTTCTGAAGAGTTAAGTTTAATCATGATGCTGACATCATCATATCGAGGGATGTTCCTCTCACCATCACTGCATTTGTCTCACTGCCTCATTGGAGGAGCGAATGCTACACTTCAGCCAGAGAAAAGGAGCTGGACTCACTCCTTCTATACTCGCCATGACTTTCAACATGACCTCGGCTTTATGATGATGTAGAGTGCTGACAGTGCATTCCTGTTCCTCTCAAGGAAAAAACATAATTTTCTTCTTATAATTGAATATAAAAATAAAAGTAGTGCAAGAAAAGGTTACATGTCGGTTGTAAAACAATTCCACAGAAAAAGTGGTGTTCTATCTTAAATTATACAATATATAGCCTTGGGGGTGTAAGACTTCCTGATCTCTGGATCTCCCGATCCCATAATGATGAAACAACAGAATGACTTATTGCAGTCAGTGCCTCCGGAAACAAAGGGCACCGAGTTTGAGTCGATGTATTTGCAATGACTCACCAACAGCAAGTGTGGCGCTCCTCATAAATTATGCCACTGGTTATCAGCCCGCTAACACTACACAAAAAAGAGGGATGTCTAATTCCAAAGTAAAAACATGTATTTAATAATACATGGAAAACTCTGCTGTAAAGGCTCACAGCAGAGCGGCTCACAGTTCCATTCAAGGAGGACCAGGATGCACGGCGCCTGCAGGCCTACGTCGAGGAGGAGACGTGCTGGGAGGAAATCAAACACCAAAAATCGCCACGCTGGTCCGCAGGCAACGCATCAGACACAGAGCAAGGATGCACAGCTGAGATCGCCACACTGGTTTGAAAGCTGCTCTGCGGAACTAATTTTGACACCTGGAGGTAAAACTCTAGAGAGTCAACAGTGATGATGCCGTCTGTGGAGTTATCAAAAGACTTCCGGAGAGCCTTATCAGTGAGGTTAGACTTGCTAGCTTGATGATAAACACCAAAAACATGGACTCTTAGTTATATGGACCACTGGGGGGGGGACATCTGAAAACATTTAGAAAGCTTCATGCAGCAGCAGCAGGTAAAATGCACACCCACCTGTCACGTTAATTAATGCGTGAATTAACATTCATAAAATGATGATTCATCAGATGTTGTGTAATCACATGAAACATGGCTTCGCTATACATCATGCCGCAAGAGTTCATGATATATATAATGCATTAATTCATGTATTTAATCATAATGAGCCACGTGTTAGTTCATCGACTAAGCATGCAGTGTGAACGCTCAGTATGAAATGTTACTATAAAGGGCTTATTCTCATGTTAACTGCTACTAAATTACATACGTGACTGCCATTCTTACCTTTCCGGGGGCTTTGGACCTGTTGTTGTTATTGTGGGAGGCCTGATTGACGTCTTCATGGACGCGGTCCAGCAGCCACAGGAGGAACTCCAGGGCGTCGTGCTGGGAGTTACCACGAAACTGCGATCCGTACTTGGACACTATAGTCTGGAGAGGAGAGAGGCACACGTGGTGAATGAGTCAATCAGCTACATAATTATAATTATGACATTAGGTACTTTATAAGTGAAGTAAAGTGCCACTTTACAGAGAAACCTTCTGAAATCTGTGAATATATTGTTCCTATTCAGATAGTCTACAATACAATAGAAAAATTAAAGCAGAGGCAATTTAATAGGTTCGTATAATGTGACAGCTTGTTAGAGTTGAGGCTGTAGGGGCCACCTGGAGAAGCCAAATGAAATAGGCTTGCTAAGATATCCTTTCTAAAGAATTCTCTAAGAAGAAATGTGAATCTCAAGCGCCCCATGTTTACTGGTTTTGACAGCTTGTCTGTGTTCGTTGGGCAGCGCTACGCCGACCTTCTGCACGGAGCGCTGATCAGACGAATCCCTGAATTGCAAATTTGCACTGAAGCTCTTTACGCTTCCCTCATCTCCACCTGGCTCACACTTTGACGGATGCAGCGTCATTTCACATTTTGGGTTTGTAAAATATGCCTTTGTCGACAGAAAACATGCTTGTTAATGAAAGTTTTACAGTCATAACCGTATTGCCTTCCTCCTTTTTCTTCTGGAGAATCTAAATTTCCGAAAATATGTGACATGGAAAAAGACGTGTGAATAGCATTCCTCTTAAAAGTGGGGTGAGGACTGCTTTAGCTCACGCGCAGTATAATGTCACTTCAGACGTGAATGGCACCCGACTCAATTAGGCAGGAATTAGCTGCATGAACCGCAGCTGGCAGAAGCAAAGGCAGTGATGAGAGATTTAGCGGAGGGAGCAGCAGACTGTAATCATCGCTTCATAATCCACTAATATGTGATATGCCTCTTATAGCCGTTACACCATAACGTGATGTAGCAACGTCTGATGATGAAGTCAGAGGGCAGTCACTGAGGAGATACCGAATTCAAACACTCTTTGCTCCTTCAACAGCCAGCACTGGAGTGTCCCGGAGCAAAGCGTGTACAGCGAGATACAAAGCTGCAGTTGTTTGAAAACAACATAGAAAGTGAAAGTGAAACTTGCTTTGCCTCATGGATCTCAAAGTGAAAAAGTGATGAGTGATGCAATCCAACACTGGATCCTCGCAGTCACTTTAAGATAAACTGGCCATAAAATACAAAAAGGTCAACAAACATAGAGCTCCTTGATTAGCCAACACACCTGGACAGCTGTGTGTCTCTGTCTGCTACAATGTTGTTATTACATCAAGAGCCAGATGGACAGATGGACAGTGTGCACTAATATTTTCACTTTTCACTCTTATGGACGACACATCTCTGATTCAGGGAAGTTTTTGTCTGCTCGGATCTTAGGAATAAGATACTTACAGCCTTAAGTGTGTGTATTGTCCAGATGTTGCGGATGTATTTTCACACACAAGTTTATAGTTTATATTCTGTCATACTCAACATTACAACACATCCGACTGACTGGAGAAGACTCAACATAGCGCAGCAGTACCTTTTTAAATACATTCCCTGGAAACATTCAGGGTTACTTTGCAGACATGCTCTGCTATTAGCCATGAGAGCCGTGGACTCACACTAAACCAAAGCTGTTGTGCAGCAAAGTAATAACAGTAATTACCTCCGGCCTTTTGAAGGTGGCAATTGTCTCCGCGATATAATTGAGGTTGTGGAAAGTGTCGTGTTCTTTATTGCTCTCTCTGGCATAATGGGCACTGGCCAGTTTGTAATGTGTGTAATCATCGAACTAACAGATAAAGACAAAATAAGAAAACACTCTTTCCTCTACATCATTTAGCTAATGTTATATATTTCAAACCATTTATCTGTTCCTTTATAAGTATTTCAACTGTCTATCCCTTACTTTAGATAACTACATGAACTGTTCAATTTACACCATTCATCCAACTTGTGAGCACATGAAAGTTGAACATTTCAAACTGAGGGCAAAATTCTGGTGTTTTGCAGAAAGCGGACCACAAAATGCAAAGCACTGTCTCTTCTCTGTGTCACCGGCCAGGATTACAGGAACAAACAACAATCACGATGCTGGTGATTACAAAACGGGGTTGCATCTGAATAAAAAGCTAATATGTAGAATATAACATTCATTCATTCATCACTTTTAATAAAAGCTTGACAGTATCATCAGTGTCGAGTACTGTGAGGGTAACCCTGCCTGATTTAGGTTTACGCTATTAGGACTTTTCAAATGTATTGCCCAGTTTAAAACATTTATAAAGTTACATTACTTATTACATCGTTAACAGGGTAACTAGTAATGTGTAGCCCGTTACATTTCTAAAGTAACTTTCCCAATACTTCGTACATTGTGGGAGAAAGTGCCGGTAGCTTATTCACTCAGTGTTTGTCGACCACGACGAGTGGCGGAGATGTTTTGCACGATTAACTCTGTTCCAGTCGGTCTTCTCCATCAACACTTTTTAACACATTTATCTGATTTTTGATCAAATCAACGGAGCTACTCCACAATGTTTCCACATAGCCGTGTCAACAGTAAAGTACATGCAGCCCTGGTCAGGAGTCGCTGCTCTCCTCCACATCTTCTGTCAGCCGTCTGACCGACTGCAACCAGCGACATAGATAATCATTCAAAATCAACATGGAGACGGCAAATATTGACACATACCTGCGAGCAAGACCCGCTGTCGTCACAACACACATTTAGCTTCCTAAATAGGGCCATCAGTATGCGCTGAAGGGAGGATGGCATTCCTGCTCAGCTCAGCCTGACTCCCTTCTGTTCTCAGGCCTCTCGTGCTATGGAAACTGATAAATTGGCTGTTGGGTAACTGTTTGAGTTTCAGGCTTCATCTCTGTCCAGGCCTCTCTGTGCAAACACACCGTCCTGGCAGCGGG